GGGTAATAAAATAATTGCTGATGGAATATTTTCCCTATAATTATTACAAAAACACAAAATAAGTATAAACAAGTATTTATATTTGTGTACAAGCTGTTTAGATTGTCAAAAAGCCTGTGTTTTTAGGGTTATTAATGAAGTTTGTGTACTCAAGACCAGTAATATTTGGGGTCACAAGTTTTTGCAATGCATATTTTGTGGGTCAGAAGATAAAAAGTTTGGGAACCACTGCTCTACAGTGTTTTATTGTACATGAGCTGTGTTTCCAAGTTTGACACCCATAACAAAACAAAAACCGAACATTTTAATAAAAAAGTAAAATGGTTTAAATAGGAAAAAAAAAAACTCAACCTTGATACAACCATAAATTGTATTTAGGACCTTAAAAGCATTATGATTTTGTTTACAATTCATCTACAATTAAAAAATGATGGGTTTGACTCATTAAAAAGAAACAAATTATGACATAATGTAGATGTTGGCATTTGGCAAACTATACTGTTTTAAAAGCAATTAAAATAATAACATATTTAAACAATCAAGTTGTACAATTGGATCTTAACCTAAGGATTGATGAGATTAAATAGCATGGCCAGCCGGTAAATGCGGCTTTTTCTATGTGTAAGGTGTAAAACACACAAAAAAACAATGACTCCTCTATTCAAATTTTAATTATTTGTTAGGGAACGTATTCCTCCTCGTTATTGTAGAGAGGGGACTTTTCGAAGTTTGAAAAAACGAGGTGCCGCTAAAGCTAACAATGCTAACAGCTAAGCTTGCTTCTAGTACTAACGCCTCCGTCTTWAAGGACATAAACTTTGTTAAATGGGTTGTTTTATAATATTCAGTTAACTAACACAAGAACCGAGCATACATCCGCAACAAATTGAGACAATACATTGAAAAGAAATGCATCACTTAGCCGATGCTAATGATAGCTCTTACCTCCAGGAGAATACATTTTGTCGACTTTAAGCGTATAGTGGACGACAAATTATCCACTTTAACAACGCCAGCCTCCGCTTAACCTCATACGAAGCCTCAAGGGACTTTTGTAACTAACAAACACAGTTCGAAAAGAAAGGTATTTAGTTAGCCAAGTGGTAAATATTTGGAGTCTCGCATCCTCGGCACGACCCCATCCCCCCAACACACAAAACGAGAGCAGGGCACAAAAAAGAAATCCGTTCGAGGCAAGAGGAATCCCTCCTACTCACTTCCGCTTTGGGTTACTTAGTTCACGCGGTCACCCAAACCATTACTATTTATTGCCCAAATGTCATTCAGCGTAATCGATGTGTTAAATGCACCTGTTACCAATTAAACAAAAAAAAATTGTAACAAATGAAACAATACAAGTTTAAGACGTGCAACTAACAATTTGCATTTGTGTATTACTGTAAATTGTTTGTACCTCATAAAATAAACATCCGATAAAAATATTTTATTAGCTTCATCACACATTACTATAAATTCAGCGTGCTATCACTCAAAGCGCTTCTTTTGATTTGTGTGGCAGACTATTCATTTCCTGACGGTGGTAGTTCTCTTGTTGGAGGAAATGTTCAGTGACGTCAGACGCACGCTGCGCGCTCTCACGTCGAATTCAAAGCGAAAAATGATCCTAGTGGTGGTTTTCTTTAACAATTCATTTTCCTATTAAATATGAAATAAAACAGGTAACTGTTGGATTCACGATTAACTTTAAACAGTAGAAAAAACCCTGAAATTATTTCATGGATTTTTTTTTTCTTATCAGACGTTATTATTTGAAGACTGCGATTATAAATAACTTTACCAAATGTATAAATATTTGCATTTTCATATAAAATGTGAAAATGCAAAAATCACCTTTATTATATTTGTACTGTTATAAAGATACTGAAACGCAGCTCAATGCAAATTGCAATCTGGTGTTAAAATAAACTTTAGCTCAAATACAGTATGTACAGTATATATATAGCACATGTTTGAGCTAAATAAGCTATTAAGACAAATTTTGAAGTAATGTACCAAACTGACCCAATTAACTGTCCAGACTACATTTTGTGTTCCTTATTCACATTGTTTACAGCAAGGGTGTCAAATTTATTTTCACAGAGGGCCACACGAGTGCTATGGTGGCCCTCAAAGGGCCAGTTGTAATTAAAAAAGGTTTCATGTTTAACTTCTATTAAGCATGAGACATCACAGTCCTCATTTTACTGCTAAAGCTGAGTACTGCTAACAAATAATAACTGAGCTCTACGTGGTGTTTCTTGCATAGAAACAGTGTTTAATAGGTTCTCTTAAAAACACAGAAACTGAATAAATGTGAAATAAATAATACAGAAATATGATTAAAAGTAAAACTATGAGAGATTTAACCACTGTTGAGTTTTGGTAAGCCTTGAATTCTGAACTCTCCCACTTTCCATCAGAGAATCCCCATGCATACTCAACACGCATTATGGGAGATGTAGTTTATGATCAATGCTGGCTTTTTGAGACATTAATACAGGAATATCCAACTAAATTGCTCAGGTGTTCACAGTTACTCAAAGCCAACAGCTCAGGGGCCGGGCAAATATTATTCTTTCACCTTTAATTTTTTTATTGCACTGAATACATTTAAGGTTTACCATTAACATCAAAACTCATTTCATATTTAAATAAATAAATAAATAAATAAATAAATAAATAAATAAATAAATAAATAAATAAATAAATAAATAAATAAATAAATAAATAAATAAATAAATAAATAAATAAATAAATGTTTTTTTGTAGGTGGGCCCTTTGGCCGGCTGGACAGAATTAACCTGCGAGCCACATTTGGCCCACAAGCCTCGAGTTTAACACGTGGTTTACAGAGTACTGAGAAAGTGGAGCACAACAAACAGATGCTTATCAGAAACTGAAAGATCCAGTGATTGTGAAGATAAAAAAAAAACATGAAGGTTTCAGAGCAACACGTCGCCATCCAAGATATCTTGTCTTGTCAAGGGAAGATGTTCCCTTTTAAAAAACAAATGTCAAACTCGTTACACTTGTATTACAACAGTGTGGTTACAAAGTAAAAGAATGCAGGTGCCAACGTTGTCTACGTGCAGAACAGAAAAGTTGACCAGAGAAAACTATTGGTGCATTTTATAATAAAGATTTTGTCACAAAAGGGCTCCTGTGTGTTGAGCAGCTGATCAGAAAGAACAGCTAAATATTTCCCAACTACAAGAAATAGCAAAAATTGTCCATCCAAGTCTTACAATCTTATATACAGCCAAAAAACATTTTTGATCTTGTTTGGAGATTGATAATATTAAACAAGAGCAGAATGTGTTAGATTACTAATCTTGTTAGCCTAGAATTACCAAATCTTACCAAGTGCAATAGTTTTACTGCACTGGCAGATTATTTCACTTAGTTTGAAAAAAGAAAATCAGGCTTACAAGATCAAACTGTTGTGTACATCAGACTGAAAACAAGATCAAAGATACTTTTTGGCTCGATATAAGAGTGTGAGGTTATATGGAAAACTTTTGTAATGTAAAAGTAAAATGTAAAATTTCCAACACAATGTCTAAGTGTTCTTATTTTTATCATTTGGTAGTTTAAAATAAACATGGGTTAATAAAAAAATGCTAATTTATTCATTCTTAATTAAATCATCCTAAACATTTTTATTCACTGAGAGATGGTGGTATTTTCTTATTTGTTTAGGCTGATTCCTGCCAAGGCAAAGTGAGGTAAATGGAAAATAAAATGCTTGTACTTAGGAAGCCCAAATAGTTTGACACCCGCAGTGCAAACACATTTTCACCTGAACCGTGTAATCCAGTCAGCTATTTTCTATTTCCATCACATTTGTGTGTAAGTGAAGCCTTTCAGGCTCCCGGTTTAACCCCTCGTCATGCTCTCTTTCTGTTTGCCGCTGCACGGCTGATGCAGTGACCCCGTGAACCCTGAAGTGATTGTCTTACATGGGTAAATGCCTCCTGGTTGTGGGCATGGCGGAGTGGTGATAATGTCTCCCAGATTATCCTCCTGATACACACGTTGTGTACACGTGAAGCAGCACGTAGGCACACATTTCAACACAAGCGCACAAGCAAAACAGCACACACACAAACCTCTGTCTCTGTTCCAACAGTAAACACTTCAGAGCTTCACTGACGCTTCTGATTGTTTCCTGATGGTGAAGGAAGTCAGGTTGATGACGTTGAAACATAAGTGTTTCTAGTGTGTTTATCTAGGAGGCTGCGTGGACGGAAACTCATCAGTGGGCCTAAATAGCTACAAATATTGGTGTTATGAGCTGAAACCTTTACTTATCTTTGGTGTCCCTGCCATGTTGTCCACTGACACATTTTCAGACTTTTATACTCTTATATACAAGATGAGAGATGTCTTTTATTAAAAGCGTGTTGCCTTATTAAACACACACACACACACACACACACACACACACACACTCAAACAAAGGAAATCCTTAACTCATCTTCCATCTGACACCACAGTAAACTCCACCTTCCACCACAGTGACTTCAGCTGTCAACAGACGGCCAATCCCACTGGGTGAGTGATGTGAAAATAAAACCAGGTGTTCCCTCTCCACTAGTCTTCTCAGTTTGCCTGAATTTTGTCTTTCTTCCTCTTCTTTTTTTTGTCTAAATCACTGGACAGAAGGATCCTATCAGCTCTTGTTTGGCTGTAAAATAAATCTTGTTTCGGTTTCAGCTGCTCCTTTCTGCAGGAATCGCCACAGTGAGCAAATTCGCATAAAAGATGTGTCAATTGTTTAACACGTAACACAAGCTGTCCTTCCAGATACAACCTGGGCTCAGTCCTGCAGGCCCAAGACCACAGTCCTGTTCACTGAGCTACCACAGCCCATTTGGTTGTAAAATACATTTAAAATCTAAAATAAATCACCATTTTGAGGTTATTTGAATTTAGAATGCAAATTCTTTTTTTCTTCTTCACAATTTATTAGGTACTTACAGAGCTCACGAGGGGACATGGGAGATTTTTTTTCTTTTGTGTTCTCACGCAATAGTATTGCGTTACCTCGCATTACCTTTTGCATTCCCTCGCAAAAGTAGTTTATCACTGCTGTGCCTGCCCGTTTATTAGCAAACTCACATGTTCACCATTAGCGAGTTAGCCTACTGCTTTAATTCAGCTTCAGAATGAATATATCACACAGCCACGCATGGAAGAGTGTCATATGTTGATATTTTAACACAGTGCAGCCACGCAACATCAATGTCAATGTCACAAACTTGTGGCGACACATGCTGTTTTGGTAACCGGATATTTCAAAATAAAAGTATGATTTAATTCAGTTCATATACAAAAAAATCTTTTACGTGGGAACGCAAAACAATATTGCAAGTGAACACAAAGGTATTGCATGGGAACGCAAAAGAAAAAGAATCCCCCCCATGTCCCCTCGCAGTCTCCGTATAGGTTCTTGATTCAGCACAAGAAGTTAGGAAATGTGTTTGGTAAATTGTTTCTTTGTTGTAACGATATGTTTACATGTAGATTGAAATATATTTGGATTAAATATTCAGAATGTATTGTTTAAAGGAGCGCAAAATGTATTAATTTGATCATGGTGAGCATTTACGTGTACCAGGCTTTTAGTCAGAATAGAAGTACTGACATGTGCAGTCGTAAAGTTTCCCTAAATAAAACAGAGAAGTTCCACTTCCTTTATGAACATCAACAAATATTCTGTCTTCTGATCACCCAGAATGCACCTGCGCCAGGTTTTAATAATGATTGAGACGTTACTCCACTCTTTGTTCCTTTCGAGTCAAGGATAATTTAGTTTCTAGAAATGTTGTATCGCTAACTGACCAGTTTTGCTTCCCTGACATATTAACATCTAGCAAGGCAGAAATACTGTATGTCAGATTGGCATTTAAGCGTACATGTACAGTCAGGTCAGTTTTCCAAAATCAGAATAACAAGCTCAGAGAAAGGGTTAGCATGCCATTCAGATTAATAATCGGCATAAACCACCCCTCTCATTCAGATTACATATTCATTAAAATCAAGCTGATCAAGATATTCCGATTGCATGAAGCTCTTCTTTAATTCAAATTATCAGTTTATTCCATTTACATATGTCCATTTAAACATAGCTAATGCTTTTTGGCAATACATTTTATACATGGCACCTGATTTGCAGCACTTGGGGGTACCAAAACTCAAAACAAGTGTCAACAACAGCAAAATA